ACTTGGGGCTTCTGGGGGTCATAGCGTTTAGGGCGCTACAGCGTTTAGCGCTTCAGGCTTGTGGTGGTCTAAGGGTGTCTTTGAGATGAGGAGGTTCCATCTACGGCTTGGGGGTTGGACAGTTCTACCCTTGAGGGCCCTTAGGCCCTAAACCCTCAATGGCTACGCCCCCCGAACCCCCACAAAGCCTGGTCATCCCACCCTCGATCGACCCCCGTCCTTGGCATCCTTTCGCAACTGGGTTTAGGGTTTAGGGCTAACCCTGAAACCCTAAACCTGTTTTGAGTCCTGGTCTGTGTGACTGCCGGGCAATTGTCCCCAGCCACCCCGCTTAGACCAGTGCTGGTGACGGGCGCCTCACACAATCCTAAACCCTCAAAACCAAACCATACCAAACCCTAAACCCTAAAAACCACTGAGAAAAAAACGAACAAAAACAAAAAACCGTTAAACAACACCCTTCCTAAATCCTAAACCATTAAGAACCCTGGAACCCTGAAGCGGTCCCGCTCCCCTCCGGTCGCTTCGCGCCTTCGAGCCGTCGTCGAAGGCCTTGACAACGATGGCCTCGCTTCAGGGGGAGGGCAGCGGGCTCGGAGGTTGAAGGGTTTAGGGTTTAGGGTTGTAGGGTTTAGGGTTGCAGGGTTGCAGGGTTGCAGGGTTGTAGGGTTTAGGGTTTAGGGTTTAGGGTTTAGGGTTGTAGGGTTGTAGGTTTGTACGTTTGTAGGGTTGTAGGGTATAGGTTGGGATGTTCCCCCCTTATACCAACAGGCTTAGGGTTCGGGAAGGTGTTGGCAGAAGGAACTTGGCAAGCAGGCTGTAAAACTACATCCCTTAAGTGCCCTAAATTTAGATATTTATGGCTTTATAAGGGTGCTATAAAGATGACAAGGGCAATCGGCTTTGTAATACATGAAAACTATATTCAAACTACCCGCCCGAAGTGGCTCAAGATCACCATGCTCAGCAGTCTGGGACATGAAACCTAAAATTGGGGGTCATATTCACTATATGGCTATAATTCCTATTAAGGTACATGAACCATAAACCGAGCAAATAGCAAAGGCGGGACAGAGTACCCCCTCCAATGACCCCAGACTGGCTCGCACCCTAAACTACTACTTGCTTAGAACCGCCCCCCCCCCCCCCCCCCAGAAAAGATTCTCTGTATTTTCCTTGCAAGGGCGAATATTTTGATCATTGTTCTTGTGTTTTTTTTTTTTTTGGGCGGGGCGGGGGGGGGGGGGGCGGGAGGGGGCGGGGGGGGGGGGGTGGGGGGGGGTGGGGGGGGGGGGGGGTGGGGGGGAGGGGGGGTGGGGGGGGGGGGGGTGGGGGGTGGCGCCTAAGCAAGTGCTGCAGTAGTAAAACCCTGACTGAAGGCTCCAATGTAGTTCCTTTAAATTTTGGGTGAGTTATGGGTGGGATTCTAGTACACTACCCCAAAAAACGGTACTACGTCGGAGCCTTCGGGTAAAAATTAGAATAGGATTTGGGGGGGGGGGGGGGGTGATTATAGTATAATAAAAAAAGGGGGCCACAAGGGAATACTATTAGTAAGTACTAACCCTTGGCCTGCAGTAAACTCAAAATGCTTGGCGAATCTCCCCGCTGCCTTCTTGCCGGCGTAGCGGCCCTGACATGTCACATCAATCGGGATCACAGCTGCGGGATTAGGGTTCAGGGATTAGGGTTTGGGGTTTGGGGTGTAGTTAGGGTTCAGGGTCTTCTTGCTGGTTCCTAGCAGTGAATGAGGCAACGCGGTACCCCAAAATACCCAAATACATATATATATATATATATATATACATATATATATATATATATATATATATACTGTCAGGGATAATGCAGGGTGCCCAATTCCCCCATTTCCTACCTCGGGCCAAAATTCCTTCATGGAAGGTCGCCTACAACTGTGAACGAAAGGCATGATGACTCGAAGTCCTCTTGTAGACCTAAGTACTCCAGGGTTTTGGGGGGTTCTTCTAGTATAATAAAACAGGGACCATAACGGAATACTATTAGTCACTATTCCGACCTATATAGTTAGGGTGGTATAGGATCTCGGGATTAGGGCACCAAAAGGGTTGAGGACTTTTCTCCGCAAGCTTTGGGGGTGCCCGCCTGCAGCATCACGACGACTCTCCCGGATTTCAAGAACTTTCCTGAGTTACGGTTTAGGGTTTACGGTGGAGGGTTTAGGGTTTAAGGTTTAGAGCAACAAAACGGGGGATGCACACGAGGCAGCCCAGAAATAAATGCCTTTTGAGTCAGGACCCTAGAACTGAACAGCGCCCAAAATGAATCTTTTCACAAAGCCTGACCTCAAGCCGAATGCGTAGACCCGAACCACGCCAGGGGATTAAGCCTGACCAAAGCTATAAACCTAAACCCTAAACCCTAAACCCTAAACCCTAAACCCTAAACCCTAAACCCTAAACGCTAACCCTAAACCCTAAACCCTAAACCCTAAACCCTAAACCCTAAACGCTAACCCTAAACCCTAAACCCTAAACGCTAACCCTAAACCCTAAACCCTAAACCCTAAACTCTAATACCTAGAACCTCTAGCTCCCGCCTTGCCAAACGAACCCCAAAAGGGTTCCTTCGGTCCACATACCTTAGGCGGGACTATAGTACACCCTTGTCCATGCACCTGAATAGGGAATACCTGGGCCTTATAAAGTACTTCCCTATGTAGGGGCTTTGGGGCCCAAGTATATCATCATGAGCTACATGGACCCTGAAAAAATCGGGTTGGATGACCCCCAGTACAGGGTCCATTTGGTCCGCTAGGTGGCCTGTAGTGCCCTGACTTTGGGGAGCAGGAACTTCGAAGCGGAGGTGCGCTATAGCGAGGGGTCCTAAACCCGAAGCCCTAAACCCTAAACCCTAAACCCGAAGCCCTAAACCCTAAACCCTAAACCCTGAACCCTGAAACCTAAACCCATGAGCAACGAGCCCATGAGCAATGGAATTTCACCCAGGAACTGCTGAGTCTTCGGCTCGCCCTCCTGAACATTCACCACTCCCGCTCCCCCCCCCTAAACCCTAAACCCTAAACCCTAAACCCTAAACCCTAAACCCTAAACCCTAAACCCTAAACCCCAAGCCCCCTAGCCCAGTAACCGTATCATAATCAGGGCACCCTTTTTCTGGGCTGGCTAATTACAAGGGAACCTTGACCCCCCCTCCAAAAAAAAAAATGGGAAAATCCGTAGAGCCTCTAAACGCCCCTAAACACTAAACCCTAAACCCTAAACCCTAAACCCTAAACCCTAAACCCTAAACCCTAAACCCTAAACCCTAAACCCTACCCCCAAAAAAGGGTGTCAGAGTCGGGCGGCCCATGGCTTTCAGCTGCCCGATGGCCCCTTCAGCCCTCTATCCGCCGAAACTCTGCTCGAGCCTATTCGTGGCGCCCCAGCGTGGGGATCCTGAAAGGATCCAAAAGTAAGTTGGGATGTTCCCCCCTATACTACAGTCCTTGCTGGGGACTGTAATGGGGGGTTATCCTAAACCCTAAACCCTAAACCCTAAACCCTAAACCCTAAACCCTAAACCCTATTCAGAAGGGGGGACATCCCAACCTGCAAGGGTTCCTCAGGATGAACCCAATAGTGTAGTAGGGTACCATTTGGGGGGTTTAGGGTTTAGGGTTTAGGGTTTAGAGTTTAGGGTTTAGGGGTACCATTTAGGGGGTTCTACTTTATGGATCCTCCCATGGGTCTGGGAAACTGCGCATGCTCAGGGTTGCGCCTAAAAGGTGCATGTAATCGGTTCACCAAACTAGGGCTCTCCTTTTGATGCAAATCTAGGGCACCTCGACCTCCGGGTTCAGGGTTCAGGGTTCAGGGTTCAGGGTTTAGGGTTTAGGGTTTAGGGTGTGGGGTTTAGGGTTTAGGGTTTAGGGTTTGTTGAGGCTTGGCTCCTCCGATACCCGAAGGCGCAGGGTTTGTTGAAGACCGGATACGTGCTGCTGGGGGAGGAGGAATGCTAGACGGCAAGCCGAAACCCAAAGCACCGCTAAGCCCGAAGCCCTAAAGTGCTTGCTGTAGGGTTTCTTCAGATTTGATCCTTGCCTTCTTTCGAGCAACTTGTGTGCTCATTCGCCAAAACTGGAACATGGCTGGAAATTAGCCATTACCTGAAAAGCCAAGGAACCTACAATGGGTTACTTTTACTCGTCAAAGCCTTATCGGATGTTCCCCCTTATACTAACAGTCCTTCATAGGGATCATGATAGGGGGGGTACTATATAATCCATATCAAGGACTGTTAGTATAAGGGGGGAACATCCCACCTTATCAACCCCAAACCCTTTTCAGCCAGAAACCTACCCCAGAACCAGGCCATGGGCTCTTCAGGTACGAGGAAAACTTTCAGTGGGCGCGGGGGCCACCGAGCGATACTGCATCTTTCTAATTTTGCATGGTCAGCTGCAGACACACAGACACCCGAATTGTCAGCATAGTTTTTGTTGTTTGGGGAGTGGCGTACCTTGAATCGGCTCGTAGAAAAACCACAAACGTACTGATTGACAAATGACCTGCAGACTCTCGAGGCTTGTCTAGGATGGCCCTTAAAAACACTGTGAGCAAATATTCCTGAATAAGATCCTCTTAAACCCAATAAGGGACAAGTATCACATGTCCCAAGGGCCTACCCGCACATTTTGATGTTCGCCCCCCCCCCCCCCCCCCCCCCCCCCCTCTTTATCATACCTATTCAGGACTGCTAGTATACGGGAGAACCCTAAACCCTAAACCCTAAACTGACCAGCTAAGGGCAAGGGGAGCTCTGTTGGCTCCCCCCCACCCCCTCAAAAATGGGCGCCCGGCATTTTTTTTGGCCAGAAGCCTCAACTAGACCCAAGAGTAACCTAGGAATACACAGGGTAACCTTTTTTCCTCAAAAAAGTGGCTTAGAAGGGAACCCAATCCCTAAAAAAAAGGGAAAATGAGGCCCTACTCTGGGTCCCAGTCAACTCAAAAGCCGCTCTAAGCCTCACTCTTCTTGGCATCCTCCAGAAGCGGTGACTGGTCCGCAGGCTTGAAGCGATCCTGGGTCGCGCGGAAGTTTAGGGTTTAGGGTTTGGGGTTTAGGGTTTAGGGTTCTTGGACTTGGAGACTGGGGGGGGGGGGGGGGGGTTGGGCTTGAAGACCTACGTGTGGAAAACAAGTAGGTCCGGCTGTTGAGGGTTTACGGTTCGAAAGAGCCCCCTAGTGCGTGTTCCGAGGGTGCAACGCGAGGAGGAGGGGGGGGGGAGCCCGAGTTGCTTCTATTTGGGCATTCCCACAAATAGGGATACCCTGAATATACCCCTAAAATCGTATCATCCTCTTTATAGGAACCCCCTAAAAGGGTATTTCGGAAACCCCCATTGGTCTCCTGACGGGGGTAGTCATGTATCGCCATGCGCAAATGCACGCTTGCAATTCGGCGAAGGCCAGCTTGGGGAACAGCTTGCAAGACAAAAAAAGCACAACCCCTAAACTCTATAAACCCTAAGCCAAAACCCTAAACCCTAAACCCTAAACCCTAAACCCTAAACCCTAAACCCTAAACCCTAAACCGGCCCAGAAGCTGCCAGCAGCGTCGGGAGAGCGCCGTCTGCGGGCTTCCCGGGTGTCGCGGAGGCCGGCGCTGGCTTGGAGCCGAAGAGGTCGCAACAGCCACCTGGTGCGGGGTTTAGGGTTTAGGGTTTAGGGTTCAGGGTTTAGGGTTGAGGGTTGAAGGTTGAGGGTTTAGGGTAGGGGTTCTTGCCACTGTCTGTGAAGGTACTTACCGGGAGCATCGGGAGGGGGGGGGAGGGGGGGAGGTGGGGAGGGGGAGAAAACACACAAACACACATGGACACCCTAAACCCTAAACCCTAAACCCTAGTAACCCCAAACCTTAAACCCTAAACCGCACACTCTCACACTGTGAGAGTGCCGCTTTGGAAGTCCCTTTCAGATAGTCTTGAGAGGACGGCATCTCAAGCCAGGGCGAGCTGAACCAAAAACAGAGAGCCAAGACGATAGTGATGATGTGGGTTGGGTTTGAATCTCTGAGAAGTGACCTTATCTTGGGGGCCCACATGGACCCCTAAGCCCCAAACCCTAAACCCCAAACCCCAAACCCTAAACCCTAAACCCTACTATAGAGACTCTGTGCTACTATAATCTCTCTACTTAAGGTAGATGGACCAGATGAACCCTTTTAGGGCTGATGTTGGTCCCCGAGGTCGCAGTCGAGGCACAAGAAAAGACTCGGCAAAGTTGCTGGCAAATGCTTTGATCTTCTCCTGACCCTCCTGCGCAAGTGCGTCCAGCGCTCTAGAACCGACGTCACCTTCCCTAAGCCGCGAGGTTTTGGGGTGTTTGGGTCTAAGGGCTTAGGGGGTGAGAGTTTAGGGTTAAGGGTTTAGGGCTTCAGGGTTTAGGATCTAGGGCTTCTTAGAGGTTGCACGGTGCTTTAGGATTCACCAGCAAGCGCTAGGAAAGGGCCAGAGCCCAAAGCCCCTCGACTGAACCACGCTGGCTCCTTGCGCTGATATCAGAAATCCCGTCCAAATCATCGTGGCAAGGTAGAGGCTAAGCAGCAGCACGACCACCGGCACGGTCTTCGTTGTGTCGAACATGTACCTGGGATCAGGGCACACCCCAAACCCTAAAAGCCTAAAACCCTAAACCCTAATTACTCCCAATTCAGGAGGCTTCAGCTAGCATTCCTCGTGTACAGCGTTGTAAAGACAGGTCTCCATAACGCCAAGTTGGCCCAAGACCTGACAAAACTCTACTGTTTGCGTAAGGCCCCCCACCCCCCCCCCCCCAAAAAAAAAAAAAAAACTTATTTAGAAGTGCAATAAGGGGATTAGTATCTTTAATTGTTTTGGGCTCTTCAGCAAATAGTAGGACTTGGTTGACAACCACCCAGGAGGCAGGAGAAGACTCCACAAGGATCGCCTGAACCCGGCACCCAGCCTCCGCACCCGACGTGAAAAAAACCAAGATGTTCCATACAAGGGTAAGCACAGGGATTGTTATACTTGTTTTTTGGTTGCTTGGGGACTTTAAAAAAGTAGCCAGTAGTCACTTGTAGGTGCTCCTTCGATGGTGGGCATGATCTCATTGCACAATTCAGTGCCCCCCAACATGGAACTACAAGTCAGTGTTCAGCCCCAAAACAAGAAGCTCACAGACTCCTAAAACCTAAATCCAACTCCTAACCGCAAACCCTAAACCCTGAACCCCGAACCCTAAGCCCTATAAGCCCCAAACCCTGAACCCCAAACCCCAAAACCTAAACCCATAAAACCCTAAACCCTAAACCCCGAACCCTAAACCTGTAAGATGTATCCCGGAGGGCGTGAGGTTGATCGCCATCGTCAGGATGGTGATGAAGTAGACGGTGCAAGCCGCCAGGGCTTTAAAGTGATCATCGGAGCTTGAACTGATCTTGAATCCGAAGCCTGTCTATCGCCCTAAACCCTAAACCCTAAACCCGAAACCCTAAACCCTAAACCCTAAATAAAACCTTACGCGGGGCAGGCGCGGCTCTCAGGCTTAAGGGCTCTGCTCTGGGAGTCAAGTTTCAGTCCCAAGCCCTGGCCTAACATCGGCTCGATGATGAAGGCGGTGACGACCGCCAGCATGATGCGATCGTAGTCGGACATGCCCAAAAGCCTTGGTAGCCCTTAAGAAGGAAGGGGGGGGGTTAGGGTTTAGGGTTTACGGTTTGGGGGACATGCTCAAAAGCCTTAGGCTCAAAATGGCCCCAGAAACCTTACATTTGGGCCCAAAACCTTAGAATAAGAGCCCTTAGAGCCTTGGGAAATCCCAAAAGCCTTGGTAGCCCTTCCAAAAGACTATCCCCAGAATCCCGATACACATTAAGGCATCTTCCTTAAGTAGGTCTTGGGCTCTTTGGGTGCCCAAGACCTTGGGGACGAAAGGAACCCTAAGAGGCTTTGGGTTCATATATTGTCGGTGACCCTTATACCCTAATTTCGCCCCTAGATACCCCAATAAGAACCCCGAATAGATGCCTGAAAAGCAGAAACCATGCTTAAAGAGACCACCAACCAATATAATTCATACCTTACGAGGAAATATAGTAGCATAGGGTCGGTAGCCCTTCTTTCATGGAAATATCTCTTAGATCATAAGGCCCCTCTTATTTGGGGTGCCCAAAAGCCGTGGGGATGAAAGGAACCCTAAAAGGGTTTAGGGTTCATGCGCCTCTATGGGCATTACAGTAGTATAGGGCAAAAATGACCAGTCTGACATGCCCAAAAGCCATGGTTGCCCAGTAGCCACACGAAGATAAGGGACCCCTAAGAAAAGAGCACCAAATCGTAGTATGCCCAAAAGCCTTGGGCCTCAAAGGGCACCTGGTTTCTTGAGAAGGGAACCTTGAACCCTAAACCCTAAACCCTAAAACCTAAACCCTAAACCCGAAACCCTAAACCCAACAAGGAGGGCAAAGAAAGGATGCCACTGGGCCACCAAGAAGCTCCATCGTTTCGGGTGAGAATGTCAGGACGATCACCAGGGAGAGGCCTTGCTTGCTGTCTCATTTAGGGTTTAGGGTTTAGGGTTTAGGCTTTAGGGTTTGTTTGGAGTTTGGGGCAGCTTTCTCCACAGGCGAGTGCTAAAGGCACAGCAAAGGCCGCCAAATTGACAGCCAGGAAGCACATGACGAACATGCCCTGCGCGCTGTAGAGTGTCAGGCGCCGCAGATACGTCTCCCCGACGGTGTAGGTGTCGGCTTTGCTATCTTGTAGCAAGACATTCCTAGGATGGCCCTTAAAACCCTCTGAAAAACATTCCTGAATATGACCCTCTTAAACCCAATAAGGGAAAATATAAAATGTCCCAAGGGCCTACCTAGATTCAGGTTCAAGAGCACGATGAGGACGATGAAGTAGAATGTCACGAAGAATCCCGAGCTGAACATCCACCTCTAGGTTGCCCAGTAACCCTAAACCCTAAACCCTAAACCCTAAACCCTAAATCCTAAACCCTAAACCCTACAGAGGGTGCCCCTTTTTTTCTTAAAGGGGTTTATAGGGGAACCTAGAGCCCCCAAAAAGGGAATAAGGGCACTAAGCTGGGCATCCTAGACCTTTTAGGGTTTAGGGTTTAGGGTTTAGGGGGATGTTTCCGCCCCCCCCTGAAGCTCAGAGTCCTTCAGAGGGATGATTACTAGCCCCCTGTGATAATCCCTATGAAAGATTTGGGTTTAATCGCTCACACTCGGACAAGCCAGGCGAGGCACACAGGTTCAACAGTCTCAACATCGGCTCTGCAGCACATGTGGCCACAGTCATGCTGGTGATACTACTCAACGCTCACTGTTTGCTAACTGGTGAGAGGCTCATTGGCTAGTGAAACCTACCCAGGACATGTCAGTACTTCTCCACAACACCATATCTTGCCATCTTCTGAGCTGGTGGGCGTTCAAGTCGCACGGGGCAGGAGAGAAATGGTTGACCCCAGAGCCCTATACAAAGTTCAGGTAGCGTGCTAATCTCCTATTACTCTGCCATTTCTCCCCCCATGGGATTCATCCTCTTTGCCCCTGCACCATCTGTGCTACGCCCTTTCACTGGCTCGTTCCCTTGCCCAAGTATCTGCCCAGTGCCGTCTCCGGTCATTCACGTGCCCGTCCGCTGTCATCATCTCGTCATTGTCTGGCGCGCCTTGGAGCCTAGGCCTCAGCCTATTGTCAGCGAAGTCACATGGTTCCTTTGCGGAGGCTCGCCATCCTTGAATTCTGCTTGAATTCCTGAATGTTGACTCGAATTCCTGAATTCCAGCAAACATCCTCCTCCCCAGGCGCACTACTCCACTCCTCCCATGCAGTTCCATGCAGACCATGCCCTGCAAGCGCGCTGTCAGGCGGACCACAGTCCGCAGTAGAGCCGCGTTCCACGCAAGCCATTCCATGCCAGCACACATTCAACTGAACCATCGTTCCGCGTTGGATGCAGCCATGCAGGGGACGAACCCGCGTTGGGTGCAGACATGCAGGGGCGAATTTGCTTGCACTCCATGCGGACGCCTCGCCTTCTCCCCAGCTGTCGACTCGCCAGCTCCCACGGCCGCCGCTATGTTTTGCTGAGCCAGGACGGGTTGTCGTGTGCGACCATGGCACCTCGCAGAGGCCACAGTCGCCAAGTGGGTCTCCTCCTCATTCCTAGCGGCAGCCTGCTGCTCGTTCAGCTCGTTCACTGCCGCCACGCCATCATACATAATGGCTTCGAATGTCACGGTGGACTGAAAGGCCTTGCTCTTCTTGTGGCCGTCGCCCATTGAGCGAAGGAGCGTCAGCGCCCGAGCGTTTGGCTGGACATCGCGAAACACTGATGTTGCAAGCAGCGGAGACTTGAGTCCGGACCACTTGTCCGTGCTCATGATGACTGCCGCCGCCGAGTTGATTTGGTCCTCACCCAAGGGTGCCGACCGTGGTGGCGTTCCTGTCAGCAGCCTAGGAATCTCGCTGTAGGCAAGCGGTGCGTCGTGATACGCTTGGAAGGCTGTGGACAACGTGTGGAGGCGGTTGTCGTCAAACGCCCGAAGGGCGCCATTCGATGCCGCCCTGGCGACCCCTTCGATGAGGAGTTGCATGCGCTTGGAATACATCAAAGCGCCTTCAAGCTGCAAGGGGCTGGCTCGGGGTCCAAGGTCCCAACTCACCGCACGGACCTTGATCAGCCTTGGTTCGACGACTTCGCTCCCCTGCCCCACGGCGAACTGAGTAGCCCATTTCCGGGAGGCCGAGCCTCTTCAATGCCCATGGGAGGGTCATTGCTTCTCCAGTCCTCGGATGGCTCTCAAGCAGTTCATACTCTGCGAAGCCTGCGGGCTGTGGCTTGATGGTCGTGAATGGGACAAAATTGTCGAAGAGGAATGCTGCAGCCCTTTCGGGAGTGAAAGCTGGTGCCCCCGTAATCAGCGTAGCCATAAAGGATTTCGCTTCTGGGGATTCCAGGGCGACTTGATTGGAAAAGCAACTATCGTCGGTGACGCTTGCCGCCGAATCACTGTGTAGACTTCTTCGCCGGTCGGACGTTGACGGCAGACCGCCCAGGGATGACATTCGCCCCAGCTGCCACCGTAATGGAATCCAACCATGACGGGGTCACAGCTCCGGCCATGGCTTCGCTCAAGGAAGCACTTAGAGAGTGTCTAGTCTTGATCCGAAAAATCTTGAGCCAAAATGGCTACGGCTCAAGATTTGGGTTTAGAGTTTAGGGTTTAGGGTTTAGGGTTGTTAGTTCTAAGGGGGGAACATCCCAACATCCCTAAACATCCCAACATCCCTAAACCCTGAACCCTATAAAGCCTCCAGTTCGTGGCATCCGAGCCGAGGGTGAAGAAGCGCGTGAAGGCCATGGCGATCGCCACGGTGATGTTTGCAACCCAGCCCCACCTTGAAAACGAAAGGAAACCCCAAAACCGTTAGATCCCTTAGATCATAATACCACTAGAAAGAGGCCCCTTTTATTTTAGGGTGCCCAAAGGCCTTGGGGACGAAAAGGAATCCTGAAAGGGTTTATGGTTCATATACCTTCATCGGAAGTATAGCAATAATGTCCGGTGTATGGCCTCAAGTTTAGGGTTCCTCTTTGGTCTCCCCGAGGCACACGAAGCCGTAGTAGTAGACCAGCGATGTGATGCGGACACGTGCTGACTCACTACCACGGTGTGCTGCGCAGCAGAGCTGCCCAAAGAGAAAGGAGAAGAAGGCGACGAACGTGGCCGCCGTGAGGACACAACCAAAGACGATGTGAGCTGCAATCAAGGCCTGATACCTTGGGGAGCAAGTGAACCCTAAAGTTTGGGCCAAGATACCCTATACTACTATACTTCCTACTAAGGTATATGAACCATAAACCCTTTTAGGTATACTACCATAATTCTATTAAGGTATATGAACCATAAACCCTTTTAGGGTTCATTTCGTCCCCGAGATACCAAGCTCCATTTCGGTGGGCGTGCTTTTGCCAAGGCGACGTCATCCAGCCTCCCTCTGCAGCCTCTGGTGTGAGACCATACTTGCCTTGGTAGCCCAGTAACCAGCTTCTAATGAGGGCACCCTTTTTTTGGGGGTTGGCTATTTCTAAAAAGGGAAACCAGGACCCAAGAAAAGGGTAAAGGGTACCACTGGGCTGCCAAGTTGCAGTGAGGAGGCTCGTTTGTGGGATAGTCCTCCGCCGAGATTGGCGTGACACCATCGCTCTGTAGGCACATGCCGCCTTCAGATGCCACGTAGTAGTCGTTCTGTCCGAAGGATAGTACCTCACCCGTCCGGTTGTCTCTTTAAAAAAAAAACAGTTCGCTTGATACATTCAGACCATGTCTAGCGCGGGCAATGCAAGCTGTGTCTGACACATTCAACTGCGGCACCCACATAGGCACGATTGCCAGGGCCAAGAGAATGAGCATCTGAAGATAGGACTGCACAACTCTGTGGACGTTTCGGAACGAAGGCTTGTAGCGCCAGGTCAAGTACCTCAAGGCTCCAATGCAAATGATTCTTGGGCTGGTTATAGGAGGCTGGGGTACCCTACTCCTTTTCCAAAAGGTAGCCTAAACCGCAGACCTTTTCTTGAAAACCCCAAACCCCAAAACCACCGGTTTAGGGTTTAGGGTTCGGGTTTAGGGTTCAGGGTTCAGGGTTTAGGGCACCAAACCGAGGTACATTCCATCTTGGCCCTCCTCGAAAGGGCTCAGGTTCTCCAGACCTCGTATGTCCATGTAAAAGCCCCTTGCAAAAATATTCCTCAAAACAGATCCTCCCCAAAAAAAGGCAGTCGGGGAAATATCAATGCCTTTAAACCCTAAACCGCAAACCCCAAACCCTAAACCCTAAACCCTAAACCCCAAACCCTAAACCCTAAACCCCAAACCCTAAACACACGTCCCAAGATCCCACCCAGTAGCAGCTGGTCGACGAGTCCATGCTCCGACTCAACTTGGATCAAGGGGCACCCCTCGGATTATAAACGGCTTGAGGAAATACTCTGCGTGGCGGCATCCTCTGGGGTGCAGAAGCGCCCACAAAGGGTTTAGGGTTTTAGGGTTTAGGGTTTAGAGCCCATGTTTCTTCGTAGGGATTCATGGTCGTATAGGGTAGATGACCCCGATGTTGGGATTCACTTGGTCCTGCAAAATCTGGCAAGTCTGCGCGCCAGTGCTCTGTGGCTACTTGGGCTGAAGGTGACCTTCACCTACCTACAGTACCATCTTGAATCATGACTGGAACCCATGTTACCACATATAAGTGCCTGTTCGCTGAGTGACCGCACCCCGCAAGCGCCCCAAAGCGCTCCATCGATTATTGTGGAAGCCGGCATGAACTGAACTCACCAGCCCTAAACCCTCAACCTTACAAACCCTAAACCCTAAACCCTACACCCTTTTGAAACCAGACTTGATGACTGCCAGCGAAGCCCAAACCTCAAAGCTGTATCTGAGGGCCGGACACGAACAGAACTCACTCCTATTGAGCAAACGCTAAACCCTAAACCCTAAACCCTAAACCCTAAACCCTAAACCCTAAACCCTAAACCCCAAACCCTAAACCCTAAACCCTAAACCCTAAACGCTGGCCACATGCTTCGGCTCTTTTGCACTGTGCGGGCTCAAGGGAGTCATACTCGGACCTACAGGCTCCTAATGTGGTACTTAGGGTTTTTTGAGGTTTTTTAACTTTTTTTAACGTTAAAAAACCTTAAAGTACCTTTTTAGTGTAGTGTGTTAGAAGTCCCCATGGCTAACCCAAAAGGGAGCGGCTTGCAGGTAAGCCCTTCTCAATCCCCCCCCGGGGGGGGGGGTTGAGTTCAGGATCGAGCTTTTGACGCACGTCGACAGCTGTCACGGCCAAGGACTCAATTACCTGAGCAGCTTGCGCCGACCCCTTGCCACGTTTCTTGAAGTCTCGCTCTCTCTCTCTCCCTCTCCCTCTCCCTCTCCCTCTCCTTCTCCCTCTCCCTTGCTTCCATCCTCTCCTTCATAGACATACTCCTCTTTCTTCATAAACATACTGTAATGATGTGTCCCCCTCTTCAAAGCAGTGGGGGCTCGAGGAGGTTTTGGCTCGCTTTCCCTTCTTAATTTTCCATCTCTCTCTCTCTCTCTCACACTCTCTCTCCCTTTCTCTTTGCCTTTATCTTGTTTGCGTTCTCCATCTCTCTCCTATCGCAGCCTAACATTATATATATATATATACATATATATGTCAATGTATATATGTATGTCCGTACCTGTCTGTCAATGTATGTGTGCTTGGAAAGGAACGGCTTGGGTACCCGACCATCCCTCGCTCCCTCTGTTTCCTGTTTCTGTGCCTGTGAGGGTGGGGGTTGGGGCGTGAGGGGGGCACAATGCAGCTCCTGGCACATCCCTTCGAGTTATTAGAACCCCTATAATTGGCTGATTGCGTAGGTACTTTGGGGCCCTCTGAAATCCGAACTCCCAGCGACTCTCAGCAAAAGCCTAGTCAACCAAGACGCGCTTCCGCTTCGTGGGCACCTCCGGAATGGGAATCTGGGAATCTTGGGCAGGTACATGGGCTATCGCACCCGAAACCCTAAACCCAACAGAATAGGCGCTCAGGTAGCCCAACGACACTGAAAACTAGGGCGCATGCCCTGCATCCTCTCAGAGACCTTATACTACAAATGGGAAATGACTACCGTACATCCTTGCCCTACATCCCACGAAGATCCCTGCATGAAGTTCTTGAAAGGCTTGTCCCGAGCCGGGGGGGGGGGGGGGGGGGGGGGGGGGACCGAGGAAACAATCAGGGCACCTTTCCGCAAGCTATGGGCAGGACCCACCAGGGTCCGTGACCCCCCAAAAAGACAAAGGCGAATCAAGTCCGACGGGTTAGGGTTTAGGGCTTAGGGCTTAGGCTTAGGGTTTTAGGGTTTAGGGTTAGGGTTTTAGGGTTAGGGTTTTAGGGTTTAGGGTTTAGGGCTTAGGGCTTAGGGTTTAGGATCACACAGGGGCTGCGTGAAATCAGGGCAAGCCGCGCTGCAGAACTCCAGCTCTGTTGCCTGCAGCATGCAGTCTCCCAAAACCACGAAACACTAGTTGTCCAGTAACCTCGGGGAACTAAAGGTTAACGACCCCAAGATATCCAACACCCAACAACCTCAGGTGCTAAACCCTAACCTTTAGCAAAGCCCCTCAATCCTGCACCCTCTGACATTTCGAGGGCCTGAGGGCTGTTCGGACAAACCCTCTAAACCCTAGACCTTTCTCTCTCTAACTCTGGCAGTGCAAACGTCAAGCCTGCGAGGGATAGCACTGTTGGTCACCCCGTGAAAGTGTAAATGGGAGGGCCGGCCCTAAACCCTAACCCTTAAAGGCTAAACCCTCAAACCCTCAAACCCTAAAACCCTCGGAAACCTTTGCCCAAACATCCTCCTAAGGGGTCGCGCTGAGGGCAGGGGGGGGGGGGGGGGGTTGGCAGAAAAGCCTTCAAACTGTAAACCATGGCCATTTTGAGAGCTCTGGTTGAGGGTTCGGGTTTAGAGCTCCAAAACCCAATAAGGCCTGTAAGCCTGTAAGAAGACATGCTCAATATCCCTGCGCCCTAAAAAAACGCTCTACCAGCCCTAAATCCTTGTCGGAGAAAGGGTGCAGACCCTAATTCAAACCCCCCAAACCCCTCCGAGGCCAACCTAAACCCGACACAGTTTCTTTTTTCACCCCAGACTCTTGATGTCAGCTGGAGAAGGGATGAGAGGGGATGCCAGAAAATTGCGCCCTCTAAACTCATGGGTTCCCCTAGTACCGCCCTCTATACTACACCCCTGCTAGGTTGACTTTGTTCTGGGGGGACCTACTAGGAGAGACCTGTGATAAACCAGAAACCCTCAATCTCACTTCGCGGCTGCGCGGCAGCTCGGTAAGGCGCATCGCCCCGAGCTCCCGGCTCAGGCCGTCGTGCCTTCGTGCCGGCAAGGGCACAAAACTCGTGTTTCGGGTTTCGGGTTTCGGGTTTAGGGATGTTCCCCCTTATACTAACAGCTCCTTTATAGGGATGATATTGAGGGCCCGATTAAGGACTGCTATATAAGGGGTAACATCCCAAGTTTAGGGCTTTTTGTTCGACTAGGGTTAGGGTTTGGGGTCTTTGGCAAAGGGGGGGGGAGGGGTTAGGGGGTTAGGGGGGTTTACAATACCGAGGGTTGAGAATCCTTGAAGCGGGGTCTGAGAATAAGGGCGTGCAACAAAAAAGGCAGGTGTAGGGTGTCGACTTGGTGCACTTCTCGACTTGTGCGTAGCCCTAAGGGTCCATGTACCTCATTGTTGTATACTTGGGCCCCAAAGTCCTTTTATAGGAAGTACTTTATGGCCCAAGTACTCCCTATTTAGGTACATGGATCCTTAGGGTAGGCTTTAAAGGGTTGATGGTTTATTTGGGTGATTCGGTCTAAGATGGCCTTTAAAACCCTCTGAAAAATATTCCTGAATATGATCCTCTTCAACCCAAAAAGGGAACCTAAACCCCAAACCCCAAACCCTAAACCCTAAACCCCCAAGGGCCTCCTAGGGGATTGGATGCTCCAGAGGCAAGGCGCCACAAGTAGTAGGGCAGCAGGAACTGGTCGCGCTGGATGTCATGCGACCTTGTGTTGGATATCCCTGAGCCGTAAACCTTATAAAACCCTAAACCCTTTAAAGTCCTACACCTAAACCCTACGTGTAGCCCCAGAAGTCCTACACCCTAGACCCTAAAACCTCTCGTCCTCGAAGCAGGCACAGAGTCAAGGGTCAGGGTGCAGCTGGCTTGGCACGTGCCCTGCAGACTGTTGGCACACTGCACCCCTAGATCCCGCGCTAGGTACGCCCAGAAACCGAGGGCCCTAGCCCTAAGGGTCCATGTACCCATATAGTATATACTTGGGACCTAAAGCTACTACATAGGAACCCCTTTAAGGCCCAAGTATATACTATATAGGTACATGGACCCTTTGGGTAGGGTTTAGGGTTTACAGGGTTTAGGGTTCACAGCGGTAAGGGTTTAGGGTTTAGGGTTTGGGGACCAAACGAACCGTATGCCCCATGCAACTGTAACCCGATTTCTGGTATATGGACATATATATGGACCCTGAAGACCCTTTTAATTGGGGCTCTTCCGGTGCCCCCAAGGTATAAAGCGCAGCTCAATGGCATGTTGTACGTGCGTTCGAAGGCGGTCCTCACGACCTCCGAGCGCTCGTGGTTCAGGTTGCGGAAGATGACGCAGCTTTCGTAGTAGTGCGGCCTGATTCTATACTCCCCTTAGAACCTTAATAACAATAATATGTTTAATATCCTCTTGGGTTGTATATGCACAAAGAATAATTCCCGAGGGGGATATAGGATTTCCAGACTTATCCAATCATCAGAGATTCGCTTAAAGTTGGTGACCTTCACTGTGGCGCCTAGCTACTGCGCCTTCCTGACATCAACCCTCAACAGTAGAGGGGGTCAAAGGCAAGTCGTTCTCTCATACCTCTTTTGGAAATCCTCTGTAATAATCCTCTTAAATACCCTTATAAGACCAGACCTTCAGGGCTGTGGTTCAATGAGTGTCCTTTCACCCAACTCCCGAAGGGCCCTTTCTCCGGAAAGCCTTGCGTTTCCTGCCGCCTCCCAGGGGCGCGGCGAACATTCACACTAGACTCCATAGACTAACAGCAGCTGACAGATATGGGCATTTCCCAAATAGGGGTGCGGCTTTCATACCCCAAATAGAATGGAATCCCCTAGGGCTTAGGGTCTCTCCTCCCTCCCTCCCCTTCTCGCCGTCAGCCAGGGTCTCACCCTAGAACCCTAGAGCCCACCAGTGAAAAATGAAGGCCCCGACATATGGAGCCTACTCCATTCCACTAGTTAACCCTGAGCCCTACACCCTAAACCCTAAGCCCTAATGGCAACGAGCTTGACTATGCTCTCTAAACCCTA